GGTACTGCGGAGGGGCCGGGCGGTCGTGCCCGTCGGTCTGTCTGGTACCGCGGAGGGGCCGGTCTGTCCTGTCCGTCGGTCTGTCTGGTACCGCGGAGGGGCCGGTCTGTCCTGTCCGTCGGTCTGTCTGGTACCGCGGAGGGGCCGGTCTGTGCACGGTCTAGGCCTGGGATACTCAGCTACACCCTCCCACTGGGGACAGAGCCCGCTGAGTGGCCTGCATGAGTCTGCAGGCTGTAAATGGTTACGTCCTCCTTGGCGTTTTCCACAGAACTGGTCCCACTGCGCGTTTCTGGCCTCCATTACCTTGGCCTTCGCCCAGCCCCGAATCTCATGCTGGAGCTTGTGAGAATAACTCAGACGTGACGTGACGGGTTTCACTCCAACTTCCCAGGTCCCCTGTGGCCGGAGAGCCCGCCGGGCCAGGGCCGTGCGCGGGGAGGGGGGCGAGAACCGGGGAGCCTGAGTGAGCGTTACGGCGCCTCGCTGAGAGCTGCCGGCGTTGCACTGCGCAGTGTGGGACCCTGCTTGTCGGGGCTGTGTCTAGGGCCAGAAGCAGGCAATGCTAGTGGAGCAGCTGCAGGGAGAGCTCACGTCCCGCGAGCAAGCCCACCAGACAGAGCTGGAGCAGCTGCGGGCCAAGCTGCAGCACCTTCAGCAGGAGCTGGACGTCTGCAAAGGGAAGAACCAAGATAATCTGAGCCACCTGCAGCAGCGGGAGTCCACGATGGAGAGGCAGAGCTCGGACCTGGAGTTCCTGCTGCAGCAATGCCAGACGCTGAAGGAGGAGGTACGGCTCCTGGGAGAGTCGCCCCCTCTCAGCAGGCAGCCCAGAGCTGAGCCCTCCTTCACTCCCAGCATGTCCCATCAGCCCCCGCTGGGGCTGGGCCACTGCCCGGGCGTGGAGCAGGGAGGGCGAGAGTCTCGCGTCAGGCACCGTCAGGGCCCCCTTGTCGTGGGTCCACAGGCAGGGAAGGGGCTGGTTCTGGTTAGCAGCAGCCCTGGCCAATGTAACTAGCTTGTGCCAGGAGCAGCCTCCCACGGCCAAGCCCCAGCCCTGTGCTCAGCTGACAGCCGTGTATTGCCCCAGGGGGTCGGCACCCACAGCAGGGACCCGGTGCCACTGCGCACGGGGAGGGGCAGCACCTGGCCAGTCTGAGAACAGATCGGGGGGGGAAGGGCGGGGGAGTGACAAGGAGGACATCCCCTGCCAGGGAGCCAGGCCCAGCTGGGGGGGAGACGCTCTGGGGAGGAGCCGAGCCCTCTTGCTTGGGAGATTTGAGACTAGACCAGTAAGGACCAGTCCTGCCCAAGCCAGGGGATGGACCGGACTGGACCTGTCCATCTCTGACTGGCCTTTGGGCCTGAGCCCTGCCTGGCCCTCGCCGCACTGCCAACACGCGCAGCGGGGCCAAGGCCGGCAGGCGGCTCCCCTGCGCTGTCGCACTCTCAGGTGTTGTACTACGAAGAGGTGGTGCAGAAGCAGGAACGGGAGCTCTGCCTGCAGCAGGAGCAGCTCCGAGAGGCGCAGGAGCACCTGGCCATGGCCAAGAGCAAGAGCAGTTCCACCGAGAGCAGCCTGGATCTGTACAAGAAGAAGTACCAGGCCGCCTTGAACCGAGCTGGCGAGCTGGAGGGCAAGGTGCAGAGCCTGGAGGAGGAGCTCCGGGACACGAGCAGCCAGGTGGGCCTGCGCCTCGCATTAGAAACGAGCTGGCAGCGCTTTCCCTTGGTGCCTTTGCCTCCTGTGGCCCTGGAGGGGTTTGGGCATCTGGGCCTGGCCATGCTAGCAGGAGCCCCGCAGCCCAGCTGGGCCAGCAGGTTCCCCACAGGCCCCAGGCTGCACAGGCCCCATGGCTTGTCTGTGCTGAGAGGTTTCCTGTGGTCGCCCTCCAGGGCTTTCTCCAGTTCAGCTGCTGGGGTGGGGGCTGGAGCGAACAATGCCAGCAGAGTCTGCCCTGGCGCTCCGGGCTCTGGAGGGGCTGCACCATGCTCCCGACGCCTGGGATCGGAGGGGAACCACCCTGGTGCAGGGGCCACGAGAAGGCCGTTAGCGCTGCTCTCCCGTGGCTTGTGACCGGGCTGGCGGTGCCGAGCGTGCGACACGAGACTTCCAGCTCTGCTCAGAGCAGCACTGCCCAGCACCGGCCTGGGGCAGAACCGTTGGGAAAGCGCCCGGTGACAGTCGGCAGGTTAGACACCCGCTCTGCCCCGGTGTCAGGCTGCACAGACTCAGGCACAAGGCTCTCCATGGTGCTCAGTGGCCTCTGGCTGCCTCTGCTCTCCTCCCTGGGAGCCTCGTGGAGTGGGCCGCTGGCCTCCTCCCCTGTCATTCTCAATCCTTCCCTCGGAAGGGAGCCAGGCCGCAGGCAGGGGAGCTGGCCCAGCCCCCACCCCCTGATCAGCCCCGCGGGCTGGGCCGGTCCTGCTGGCTGGCCCCTCTGAGAGCTGCTCCTCGTCCCTGCTGCAGATGCGGGAGTGCGATGACACCATCATCAGCCTGTGCAGCAAGCAGCTGGTTCTGCAGCAGGAGATGACGAGCAGGAGGAACCAGGCGGCCGTGGAGCAGCTGGCTCAAGAACTTCACGCCACGCAGGAGGAGCTGTCCAGGAGCCTTCAGCACGCCCACCAGCGTGAGCAGAGCATCCAGGGCCTCCGAGAGCAGCTGGCTGCCACTCAGACCAAGGTGAGCCAAGAGAAGTGGGGCAGCTGGCCTGGCTCTCTCCCTCCCGGTGCACTGCCTGTCCCTGGGTCAGCCTGGGCAACCTGGGGCAGGGCCTGTGTGCAGGGCTGGCATGTTGTCAGTGCTTTAGAGAACGTCACCTGCACGCCAGCATTCACACCCGCTCCCCTGCCCACTCACAGTCACACCCCACTGCACGTGGACACACTTACCCTTTACACGTTCACACACCGTCCCTTCAGATTGCCACATCATGCTCTGGTGGAGTAGTGCGGGACGCAGCACATCTCTGTTGGGACAAGGGACACCAGTGCTCTGGAATCTGCACTGGCCCCAGCTGGAAACACAAGTCACGGGTACCTGTCCCCTTCCGGGGAGCAGTCCAGACCGGCGAGGGGCTGTCACCACCTGCCCTGCGACCTGGGGTGCCTCACAACACTTTGCTGCTGTAGCTCCCAGCATGGGCAGTTCACAACCAGCCAGACAGCCTGCGGGTCACCCCTGAGTGTCTGTCTGTGTGTAGCCACAGCCCTGGGCCAGCCCCTCTGAGCCCAGCAGCCTGTCAGCCACAAAGCAGCCACACTCTGGCTTCCAGCAGCCTTGGTTACTACCCGCAGGGTGACCCCAGCACATTCCCAGTCCTGAATTTTCCCCAAAAACGTGTGTTCTGCACAGTCCAGTTTAGGGATTAGAGGAGCTTTGACCCTCAAAGGGGAAACAGTTTGTGACTTTAACAATCCAATTTAAACAAGTTTACTACAAAGAGGTAGATCTGAAGTGAGTACAAGTATAAGCTATTAAAGTCAGCAATGGTTACAAGAGAAATAAACACAAAACACTTCCTAGTAACTAAAATTGAACAAACTAGACTTGGTTCAAGATAAAATCTTCCCACATGTTCCTAGCAACTGGGCTGACCAAATGCTCAGGTCAGGATCCCCCCGCAGTGTCCAAAGGCTGAGGCAGTAACCAGCTCTCAATCCCCTCCTGCGTCTCTGCCAGCCCCTGGCTGCAGACAGGGAAGAACAAGAGCAGCTTGCAGAGAAGAAACGGCCATTGGAGCCCCCAGGGCAATGCCCTGGATTTCCCAGAGACCCATCAGGTGAGGGGTCCTTATCCACATCTCCTCCCGCAAAGACACGGGTCACAGACTCATCCAGAATCAGGTGCCGCACACACCTGAACCGACTCCGGACACCAGGGACTTCGCCTCCAAAGGACGTGGCTCTTCACCATAAACGTATTCGTGAGCCGGTTCACTTGCATGGGATCCCAACCTGTCCCACTGTCCTCCCCAGAGCAGCGGCTCAGAGCCAGCACAGCTGCAATGTTCTCTACAGTTGTACCCAACAAGGCAGCGTCTGCCCGTCACCCCTAGGCCGGGAGCACGCAAGGGAGGGAGGACGTGATGTCAACAACAGAGGATAAGCCCAGCGGCTGCCAGCTGTTCTTCATCTTCCAGGAGTCAGCAACAACCTGGCAGACGTCATGTACAGACAATCCACCAACCACGCGTGGTCCCTGACCAGCTCCATCATCCAATCAATATGTCACTGTGGGGAGGGAATCCCATTATAGACCCGCTTACCACCAAGGATTATACGACGTGTCCAGCCTTTTGTGCCAGGAGACGAACCTGGGGGCATTACACACTTTCCTCCTACCATGGAGGAGGGCTCCTGAGTGCACCGATTGCCAAGCGTGCCATGCAAGGCCTAGCAGGATGCTGACAGATCTCCTCCGAACGTGTGTCCCGGCGCCCATGTCACTTCGGGGTGCTCCAGACAGAGTAGCGCGGACCCAAGGGCAGGCACTCCACCCAGACCCGACGTTGCTCCATCTGACAGCCTGGGGGGTGGCTGGCAGCTCGCCAGCGGCAGCTCCCTGCAGGTACAAGACCCTGCTGCTCAGTGGGATGCTCCATGAGGAAGATTTACTCCGCCAATGGAAAAGGGGTTCACAGTGAGCCAGGGCAGGCCCCTGCATCCCAAACCCTCCACTAGACCTGGACGCCCCTTCAGTGCCCTCAAAGTGCACCTGGCAGCACGCCCGCCCCCTGCAGGCGGGGCCAGGCCCCCCCCCACGCTGCCCAGATGGCGGATGGGGTGAGTGTGTGCTGACCACTGGGGAGAGAGCGTCTGACATGGGATTGCCCTTAACTTGATGGAGCCGCTCGCCAGGGGCTTGTCACACCAGCTCATGCTCCACATGGCCTTGTTAGTCGCTAGCCCACCAGCCAGAAGGGCCAGCAAACAGCTCTGTGGCTGCCCTGCCTTACCCAGCACCCACGGGCCCAAGGCTGTGGTGAGCCTCACCGCACGGGTCGTCCCCCAGCTGTGTCACGCTGTCACGTCAGCCAGGCCACTACATTCCCACATCCATTTCTCCGCTGGAGCCACCAGGGCCTGATTATCCTACCTTGGCAGGGCTAAGCCTTTCCCGCCGGCTCCCCAGCCCTGTGCTTTGAAGGCTCACGCCAGCTCCCCCCAGAGCCTTTCAAAATGGATGATGCCGCATAGATCAGCCTGCTACCATATGGCGATGGACCACCCCCTCCGACCAGCACAGCTCACGCCACCAGAGCACAAGCTGCATCCGCCGCATGCCCCAGGAGCAGCCCCGTGTCAGCTGCTGAGCGGTGGAAGCCCGGCTGTGCCCTGAGCCGGCCGCAGGATGCGACCCCATTCGGTAGGGCAGCCGCGCACTCAGGCCTCCTCAGGCCCACGCTTGCAAGTCCCCACCCGGAAATGAACTGGTGACTTGCCCTGTGTGGCCCCCACGACCCGCTCGCTGGGCCTGCCTTTCCAGAGTCCTCCAGAGCTGGGGGTCGGCATGAGCAAGGGAGGGCTGGGTGCAGCTGCTCTGCTCTCTAGCTCTTCAGGCAGGCAAGAGGGGCCATGAACGGCCCAGGCCCAGCCCCGCCGCTGGTCTCGCCCACGTGGGAGCCATGCAGCCAGCATGGCTGGCAGAGCTGCAGTTCTGTAGGGCAAGTAACTGTTTGCTCTGCGGCCGATTATCCAGGCTGACCTGGGTACCAGGAGTGTCACCTGGTTACCCCCACGGTCAGACCCACTTGTGTGGCCGAGGCCCCTTGCAGAGAGGTGTCCGTATCGGCTTTGGCGAAGCCCCACGTCCCGTGGCGGGTTGTTCCGCCCACCCTGTAACGGCTTGTGTTCAGCTGACCGGGTCTGCCTTTAACGCCCAGCCCTTGGGTCGAATCTTGCAGGCCTGGTATTGGCTCCTCGTAATCATGTCACCTCTCAGTCTCCCATGGAGACGAGCGACAGATCGAGCTCATGAAGCGTCAGGCCAGGCCTTTTCTCCCGCCCTCGAATCGTCCCTACGGCCTCTCCCAACGTGCGCATGTGACGGAGCAGGGAGCAGGGCAGATTTGACCTGGGAATGTTGCAGGGGGGTTGCAGTGGGGATGTGGGACTTCCCTTGAAGGAAGCTACCTGAGCTGTAACCTGAGCCAGGAACGGGGGTGGGGAGAATTAACACCTTCTGCCCCGGAGACTGAACAAAGGAGAGGAGCAGCGGGAGGGGCTGTGAGTGTATTGTCGGTGGGGACTGGGTGGTGCAACGCAGGGAACCCCAAGCTGGGGTCTAAGCTCCCTGAACCTCCCAGAGAGACCTAATTGAGGGGGTCTGGTCGTACCTACACGCTCTGCTTGAGACTG